CACTTACAGCATGATTGTTGTCCCAGCCGCTAACGGGGAAGGGTTGTGTGACTGATTGTGGTATGTGCGTAGCATTTTTAGTGATTACGGGTGGAATTAGTTGTTGCCACTGTGGTTGTTCTTGTTATTTTTGAGATCTTTAATTCCAAGTACAGTGGAGCAACTGCTACAGCTGATTGAAGCATACTGGATGTTGATGGAGTGTGGCCCAGCGGCTGGCTATTTATCACTCTGTCTACCGACCCACCTGTTCGTCTCTTGGTCTGCTTGTCTAACGCACCATCCCCCTACCCCTTATCCACCTCTCTGTTTCGCCTCAACAACGGCATGAGCTGTGACGATGGAATGCGTGCGCCGTCCTGTGCAGTGTGAGTGAGCTTATCGCAATTGCCACATCCTCGTCAGTGCCATCTGACTCTCTCTCTCCTTGAGTGAGATGCTGAAATTGGCGCCTCTCTTCTTCTTCCTCTTCCTCCTCGCCCTCTGTGGCGAGTTTCTGGTGTGCATTGCTCCAGTTTCATTGCACCATTACTACTAATTGTGTTCAAGTAGGAGATGGTAGTGCTTTGCATACACAAGCCCGCATATGATGTGCTGATTTACTTTAACTGAATCACAGAGGGGGTATAGGCAAGCAAGCGCATCACTCACCACGCTCCCTCTCTCCCTTGCCCTCACCCCTGGACGTAAGATTCATTGTCTGAGTGTTGTCACATGAGTTCTCCATGGCCTGCAGCTGCGATTACGCTAGACGGTGGAGTGGGCGGCTGAGTGCCGCCGGCGATGACTGCCCCCAGGTATAGGCCACAGTGTTGTTAGGCCCCCTTTCCCCCTCCCCCCTTAATTAACCAATCGACGTTAGGTAGCATTTTGTAAGGACCGCCCATACTATGTGCTTAATTGATGAGCCTCCCAATGATGGACAAAGTCCCAGTGTGGCCCCCTCCCCTCCCTCCCTCCCTCTCTTTCTTCAGTCGTAGAAATGCCTTTTAATTCGTGAGTTGTTGTTATACCTTTTGTGCCCTAATGGTTTCAATGTACATATTTCTGACGCGAGATCACAATTGCCATTCTTCCGAAATTCTTTTTACAACGACTTGGTGACTTACCTGACGTTATCGTACTCCGTCTAACGCACGGCTTTACCACCAACGTGGGTGCTGTTATTTGATTGGTGGACGCCCCGGCGAAGATGTCACAGCTCCGGTGTGGGGTGCTTACTCCCATTCACATCACGGGATGATTATCGGGGCTTTGTGTCCTTTTTTGCGGTGCGACCCCAATTCTTGAGACAGGTCCTGGCCTGCTTTTAAGAGCCAATGTGCAGGGAAGATTTGAACGCATAAATTCCTCCACCTTGTACTTGCCACTTAGCAGGTGTAGGAGGAGCGCCTGCCTCTCCTCCATTCGCTACGATTAATTAACAAGCATTCCTTGTCGTCGTCGTCGTCGCCGCCGTTGTTGATGTCCAACACTCCATCCCTTTTTCTTGCCGTGTGTGTCTTTGTCTTACTCCAGTTGTCGCGTGAGGCCTTGAGTAAAACGAGGAAGAGCGTGGAGCGACTCTCGTGCTACCACTGCTCAGCCAAAAGTTGTAGGAAGTGCTATCACAAACCTCGTGAATTGGAGGAGTGGATTTGATTCGTTATTGCTGCAAGGAATTATTTGGGGCCTCTCAGTGTGGATTTATTTCTGCTACTAACTCCTTGTGGCCACCAGTCTAACGCGACCGACCACTGCACACCCTCTGCACACCTCGCGGTTGGCATGACATTCGTGTGACTGCGACCAGGGAGGGGGAGGTCAGTTGGTCGCCTCCTCCTCCCCCTCCCACCATAGTTTTGTGC